TGGGGCAGTTCCACTCTGTCCTCTAGGGGCGCTGTGGGTCAGAATGGACTGCACGGCAGTGGGCGTGGTTTGGGCTTTGCTCCCATAAAGACTGACAACCTTGGAAACCCTGTGGGGCAGTTCCACTCTGTCCTCTAGGGGCGCTGTGAGTCAGAATCGACTCCCAGCAGTGGGTGTGGTTTGGGCTTTGCTTCCGTTAAGATTCCAGCCTTGGAAACCCTGTGGGTAGTTCTCCCATGTTCTCTAGGGGCGCTGTGAGTCAGAATGGGCTCCACAACAGTGGGTTTTATGTGCGTAGCATTAATGTACACACAGTGGTAATCCTGACAGTTGTTCTTGTATTTAAGGTTTAGCAACGTCATCAGAACCCACACTCGCCTGGAGTCGAGATACAGCAATAGCTCTGGAGGGTCCTATGATGAGGATAAAAGTGAGTACCAACAGGCTGCGGGTCTGCAGCTGTGACGCCAGTGGTGGGAGGAGGGACAAGGAGGATTCGGATCATTCTTGGTCTGATTACTTTGCTCTCTCGAGCTGCTGTAATGGAAATACCACAGGTGGGGGATTTAACAAACAGAATTTATTCTCTCACAGGAGGCTAGAAGTCTGAACTTAGGGCGCTGGCTGTTGGGGAAAGTATTCCCCCTCCCCCTCTCCCTTCCCCTCAGTTCAAATCACTGACCCTTGAGTTAGCAGCTGAATGTTTTAACCACTGTGCCACCAGAGCTCCTTGGTGTATGTTATTTCCTGATTATTTTCTCCCTGAGTTCTGGAGGGAGTCAGTGAAGTGCCATAAAATGAGATGGGTCCCTTGTGGCTTCCAGCCAAGCATAAGACAGCCATAGGAGTTGAACATTTACCTGAGGTAGATACACTCCTTGGAGAGAAAAATCCTGGGAGAAAGAAGGGCTGCTTATGCACCGGGAGACAGCTCAGGGGGCAGAAGTGCATGGAGGGAAGGACGCCGGGAAGAGGTGACTATGGGGAGGAAGTGGGAGGGCAGCTGTTGCATTGTGGGAAATTGCAGTCAATGTCATGAGACAAAGTGTATGTGAGCTGCTGTATGGAAAGTGAATTTGCTCTGGAAATTTTCATCCAAATCACAATATAAATAGATAGATTGATAATAATTTAAAGAAACAATGAGGTGGGTTCATAAGACTTCCCTCCATCCCTTGATGCTCTTCATATCACCTGGCGTCTGTCTTCCAACAGCTCTTTTTGCCTTTTTCTTTTTGAAATATTTTGTTTTCAGTGAGGGTATACAGGATCACTTAGGTTCCCAGTCAGTTGCTACACAGGTTGTTCAGTGACGTTGGTCACATGCTTCACAACATGTGAACACTCTTATAATTTCCTTTCTGTTTGTTCAATTTCCATTCATCTAGTCTCCCTGCCCCCTGACCTTCTCGTCTTTGTTTTAAGGTCATTGTTGACCGTTTGGTCTCATAGAGATGATTTTCTAAAGGTGCACACCACTTACAGGTACCCTTCTTTTGGGAACTGATTTGTTATTTGGCTACAAGGTGGCCTTGGGTTAGTTTTGGTCCAGAGAGCACTCCTGGTGATACTGGGTGTGCTGAGGAAGTCAGTGTGCTCTCACGTGGAACGTATTTCGGTATTTTGGTCAGAATCGTAAATATGCTGCTACTTCCTGAGCGAGGTTCATTTTGTAAGCTGTGAATCAGCTCTTAGCACTTGTTACGTTTATATGGGAAGTGTGCGGATTGGACTAAGAGCTAAGTCATTCAAATGATGTCACTTTTCACAGCCCTTACTCAGCTTCTCAATGTACAAACAGTTCTCCACCATTCAAACCAGTAATGGAAGGCATGTCCACCCTTGCATAATTGTCTCAGTCTAGCTGCTCAACAAAAGGTCATCTGTTCAAACCCACCCAGCAGCCCTGTGGGAGGAAGACCTGGTGATCTGCTCCCATAAAGATAGCAGCTTAAGAAACCCTGTGGGGCAGTTCCACTCTGTCCTCTAGGGGCGCTGTGGGTCAGAATCGACTCCACGGCAGTGGGTGTGGTTTGGGCTCTGCTTCTGTGAAGATTGACAGCCTTGGAAACCCTGTGGGGCAGTTCCACTCTGTCCTCTAGGGGCGCTGTGAGTCAGAATGGACTCCATGCAGTGGGTGTGGTTTGGGCTTTGCTTCTGTAAA